CAACCTTAACAATTCTATGATTCTATGATCTTAAAAGGTCTTAAATGTCAGGACAGATTATGATATGACTACAGTTAGCAATGGGTTTAGTCCAAAAACCTGGGTTTTCTCAGTTTCCACGTACACCAGAAATGGAGAAAGCAATTGTCACTGCTGAGCTGCAAAAGGGCAGTCACAAGCACTCCACCAGGGAGGCAAGACCAAACACGGCTCCTCGCACATCTGACACCCTCGCTGGAGTGCTGCCTACAAGGAGGAGTCATGCGCTCGCCCTCCGCGACGCGGCTTACAAGCTGTGTCATCCCTCTGTAAGAAACACGAGACTACGACCGACAGCAACTGGTCCGTGGCCTTTGCTGCTGACTCATTTCACGGGGGGGTTTCACTTCCAGAAACATCGGATTCCAGTTTTAAGAGAGATTAGCTAAAAGAAGCACCCGTTTTTACCATCGCTTGTCCTCTCTCCGCTGCACTCACAGGGTCTATGAGAAGATCCCAGCTCAGTGCTTTGAGTGGTGAGGAGAAAGGGCATTTTCATGCACCTGGAAGAGGGGCTCTGCTTTGGGGATGGCTGTTCTAGCGTAAGAGGGTACATGGAAAACTCCGCTGGGCCCCCAGCTTCAGACAAGGCCATGCAGAGCATTCTCAAGGAAAAAAAACTCAAGCTGTGGTACAAAGTCCAGGCGTTACTGCTGTCCATCAGCAGCACGGCTTTTCAGGTACGGGGGCAGGAACGCTTGTCTTCCAAACGAAGGTAAAGATCAGGTCACGTGTGGCTGATCAACATGCTTCTGTGCTCTGAAGTTAGAAGAGAGAGATGCTTGTGCAGTAAAATTAATATATATAGCTTATGTCATCTTGTGATGTTTTGCTATGGAGAACGGAACAACTCTATAGGAGAAAGCCTTAGGGGCGTTGGGTACCACAACTGACTGGGCAGAGTTATCGCAGATATTTTGTACGTGACAAATTCTCCTGTCAACCTGCTTCCATAAATAAGTGCTTCTCCAAATTGCCCTGTGGGTAAAGATCCAAATCACAGAGGAGAAAACACACTGAACAGATCAATAGTGGAATTAGAAATGAAAAGTTTGGTGACTCAATATTTTACTCAGTATTTTGCTTCAAACCTGAAACAGAAAATAGTCTAGAGGTGATTAACTCAAAACAAAGGCCTCAACAGTGTAAGATTTATGCTTCACTCTCAGCAGATGAATATTCTTAAAATATGCACAAGCAAAATACCTGCAGATGTTTCTTGGGCCAAAGAAAATATTCCTTCGGTGTATTTTTCATGTCATGCCATCAGCAAATGCTCAGCTACCAACACCAGGAAAAACAATCCCTTTTTTGCCCTTGTAATTAAAGCGAGGAGTTGCTTTTGTTTTGCTGGTTGTCACTGTTTTTCTAATTATCTCTTGTAGACTCCGTATTCTTGTTTTCTGTTGGCTATAGCTCATGTTCTCACGCAGCTTCATCCATAATTTCAGGTAACGCAAGAACTGACTGAAATCTGTTGTGAAGAGGTATTCATCAGCTTGGTTGCAACCTTCTTCATCAATTACAAGTACTCCCAGCAGACGCAATCTCTTATTGGCTTTTAATTGGTTCCTTGCGACAGTAGAATTTATGGGCTTTTTTCCCTGAATCCAATTTTATTACGGGAGCTTTGTGATAGTTATGGATTCTGCGATGATCAAAATCTGATGGAAACGTTACTAGGCCAAAATCAAACTAATAGAATGATAATAGAGCTGATTTCATCTGAGGAGCATTAACCTTAATGAAAACACAGAAAATCAATGCGAAAGTCCAAAGGAGGAATTACTTATGCATCTGTCAAGTCAAAATTAATCATTTTAAGAGGCGTCAGAAAGAGAAGGGATCTTAGCACAGGAATACTAACAGGAAGACATAGGCATTAGCTGAAGTAGGTCTTCATAGAAAGATAAGATACCAGGTCTAATAGTGCAAATCAGGAGGGACAAGGAACTGCAAAGAACAAAACCACAATACACTGAAACCTGTCCACACAACAGGGAGGATTATTTGTCTGTTGTTGCCATCATTAACTGCAGTCCAGAGGACAGACAGACGGCTATCATGACAGGTGGCCAGCAGATGCTCATTAGCACAGGTTTAAGTACACCCCCTTTGTTTTCCCTTAGATGAAAGATAAGATAAAATGTATTTGTGTTTTAAAGTGACTGGATCTACACATCCGTGGAATACTACGTGTCCGCATATCCCTGTTTTTAACAAAGGACAATCCTGGTGTAGCAGCGTGTCCCGCAATCAGTACCCTGACTCGACGTGGAACAGGAGCCAGAAGAGTTTCATTCCACTTCAGATTTAAAATCCAGACTGGGAAGGGGCCAGAACAGTCCTGTGGGGTGGGCTTGAGATTTGTTAGCAGGAAGGTATCTTGGGATTTGCAAACTTTAAGTCGCAGGAGAGGGCAAGCCATCATCACTCCAGTTAGGTGGTGAGTAGGGGGACTTGGTGATGCTCTGTGATTAGCCTGGGTCATGCTGGCAATTAGCAGCAAGATGGAGGGAAAATATGAAAAACACAGCGTCCCGATGCCTGCCCATGGATTCGCACCCATGCCAAGATGGGGCACAAGGTGTTTCCCCGCTTCCATCGTGGATGAGCGGCAATACGGAGGGGTCCCCTCGGGCCCCCAGCGCCCACACGCTCCTCCCCAGCTCCTGTCGTTCTTCATTGCTCCGGCTCCCCGAAACACCCTTGCACGAGCACCCTGCAGGCGGATGCATCCAGAACAAGTTAGCCCAGCACGCCTGGGCTAGGCACGTGGTTTTTGGGAGAAAACCTGAAAACAAGAGAGTCCAACATGATACGCGCCGGACAGCTTGGTTGACAACTATTCAGCCAAGCATTTCAACTGCTCAGCAGAGCATTTCTCTCTTTGGGTTTTTTCCTGCCATCTGCTGGAACTTTTTCTTGATTCCTTCAGCTGCCACGGAATTTCTGTCCTTAGTTTATCTTTCCTAACCCGGTACCGGTACCGCTGGCCTTTAAATACCAGAGACCTCCTCTCTTTCTTTGTACAGGGTGGCTTTGCTGCAAGAGCCTTGGGGTCTGAGCTAAAATCCTTCTGTTTTGGGGGCAATTTCTGCATACAGTTGATGCAAGGGGAAAGGGACTAGAGTGATGAGCTTGTATGTATTCAGAAATATTATTTTTCACAGAATCGTAGTTGCTTGTACCAAAGAAATACTTAACTGGACTACAAAACCTGCACATGACAATACCTGGGTTTGAATTTGCTGGCCTAACCCAAGTGCACACACAAATAAGAGATTATTTAGGTTATTCAGAGGACTATGGCCCCTGCTGTAACCGCTCCCAGAGCCCGCTCTGAGCAGACACAGGCAGCTCTGGGCAGCTGAAGTGGGCCCACCCAGAGCCAAGGGCACGGCACCCTGCGGACACAGGCCTCAGGCCGCGGGGCTACCCCAGAGAGCAGGCCGGGACACCTCAGGCAGCTCCACCGAGGCGTATAACAGCACCATGACGTCACCGTGACCTCACTCAGCGCAGCGGTTCATCCCTACGCCGCCATCTCCCCCTCCCATTCCCATCCTCCTCGCCACCCGCCCACAACCAAGATGGCGCCGGGCGGCGCCGCCGCTGCCAGAACTAAGGATGGGGGGGGGGGGGGGGGCGCGCCCGCGA